GTGATGAATCAGGAAGTACAGTGGAAACATCAACAATTCAGACTCATACAGTCACCAGACATGCACCGGAAATTGGCGTACAGGTACCGGAAATGATACAATCGAAACAGGAAATCAGTGAACCTACATAAAAAAGAGCGAAGTCGTTGCAGACGGCGCAAGTGCACCCGATGACCGTAAACAGGCAGAGATTTCTCCACAAGTGGGCTCAAAGAAAGCTCCCTTTGAATTTGCATCTCCGGTGCGAAGACCTGGAATGTCAAGTTACGAAAAACGGATTAAAGGCGCAAAGGAAATTGAAGCAGCTCGCCGTTTTGCTGCAGAGATTCGAGACGGAAGAAGACTCGTAAAGGTCGTTTGGATGATGTGGCGGCACTGCTTGAAGGATCGTACAGCATACATGGAGCTGAAGCTATGGTAACAGCACTTGACTTACCGCACGTGGATGTTAGTGGACCCCTTACTGTACGGCCGTACAATACTGGAGAGGAAGTACCTGTAATTAAAGCGATTCCACAGCTTGACAAGATTGAAGAGGCTATTCAGGCTATAAAGGAGACGGGTAATCCAGACTTGTTGGCGCACTGGCCAGATTATGGATGTGCAGCTTTTGATCATCTTGATACAATGGCCAGTACCATTGAGGCGAGGCATCGATTTGGGCTTGTTAGATACACACTGGCCTGGATCGAAAAGGTTACATGGAAATCGGGCGTCGTGGTAGATCCATTCAAAGATACGTGCGATGTTACAAAGGTAATGACTGACAAGGTACAGAATAAGCACCGAATGTGCACCGGAAATCTAATGTTTTGGTGAATGATGGTGCTAACAGACTGAACACAAGGCTATCGCTGAAAAGATGAACCTCGGCGTGACAAACGTGTGTGGGCAACGGGTCCCTGGGCACCAGCTACTTGATTTCCGCGAGAACACGTTCGACCCTCAGCAGATGTCCAGCAACTACAATATACTCGAGAGTGCTGTGAAGAAGACCATTCAGCCTTTGCTGAGAATGAACGCTATGTTGTTCAAAAAGATTGACAGGTGCACGCAGCGCGACAGTAGTTCCTGCGGTGTTCTTTGCCTTGTCGTGCTGGAGATACTGCCTGCTGGCGCGGAGTGGGATGAGGGAATGTACAATTTGGTGCCGTATCTACGTATGCGATATTTTTTAAGGTGCTCAGCGCGACACAGATAGCTGTAGATATCTATGAAGAGTAGATAAGATCCTTGTTAATGTGTTATCAAGCGTGGGAATCGCTACATTAGAAAGTCACTTCACGTTACTTGCATTTAACTTTCTTGACGATCTTTTTGGTTAGATTTTGTTGCTAAGCCGGAAGTTCACCGCATTCTTACGTCAATCCCGAGGTGCACTGTTCGATGATGAAAATCACTAAGTCGTACAGCTCCTATACATCGAGAAAACAAGGACTTCCGCCTACAGACACCTTCTATATCTTGCGCCCAAGCTCCATATGCTTTGACACTGTGCAGTTAATGCACTACTACCGTTTAATTCTGTTTAGAGGACTCGTGATGTGTGTATCGTTTTAATAGTGGCCTCTACAGTTTCCGGTAGCAGCAACACCAGCCTGCAAATCAATTAAACCCATGCACATATGTGAAGTACCGTGTACCTGAGCAGCTAATATCTGAGGATGATCATACTAAAAAACTGAAATAAACAATTTACCTATGTTTGGTACGGAGTCTCTTCCGCCCGACTGCATACATGCGCAAATACTAACTAAGGTCGTAATAAAACGACTCATTTCCAATTTCACCCTACCGAAGTCGTCGCCACCATGGCACCGTCACGAACGAGACCTCAACTTACACAGGAAGACGAAGATCGTGAAGCTCGAGCCCGCTGGGACAGCCTATTTGTAGCGGCAGACGCACGAGAGCGCGCGATATCCCGCGTTAAAATAATTCCCACTATCGTCGACAGTGACAACGAGTTGTTCACACCAGCCCCTAAGTACGAGCACGCTCTCACCACCCAAGGTCCCGAACGTGTCCTCAAAATGTGCAATTTCTCGCCACGCGAGTTTGATCAACTCTGGGATGTTGTCGAGGACCATGTCTTGTCGAAATGGAATGTAGGCCGTGGAAAGAAGAACCCGAACTCCCCCAAGGACGTCCTCTTCATGACACTAGCTGCCCTTAAACACTGTGGAAGCTGGGACACTGTTTCCGGTATGTTTCAGATGGATCCATCACCATTTCAGAAGATGATTAAGAAGTTCCTGTCCATGCATGAGCCGTATATGTACGCAACTTTCGTAACAGACGCCGAGAACCGCTGGACAATGAGGGAGTTGACGCTCACCGGAAACACAATCAAACATTTTCCCTGTGCTCGCTACGCAACTGCTGTAACATTCCAGCATGCTGACAGTCCCGCGGGCAGCTTCAACGACGTTAAGAAATTCTACAGCGGGAAACACCACTTATATGGACACAAGGTGGGGGGGGTTCCGTACTTCCTATAGGATTGGCGATTAACTGCACGCTGTGGGCCCCCGCTGCAAAGTCAGACTACAGCGTGTTCTTGGACAACGAGAAGTTCCACCGGTCGGCAATGCAGAAGCCGGAAGATGAAGGGGATCTCAACGACGAAGGGCCAGCTCAAGATCGTTTCAAAAGTGATTGGGCTATACTAGTGGATAAAGGGTATCAAGGTCTGCAACGTGGATTCCATACTATTCAGCCCAAAAA